CACTGGAACTTGCGGCTAGTCATATTCTGGCTATCGAATTGGGGCAACAGGCTATGAAGCTGGCATCTACTCGGTCGACGGGCCTGCTAGTGCTCCGAATCTCCAGGAATCGGAAGCTTGAGCTGGGGCTTCTGGTGGTGATGTTGTGATGGGTATGGATAATGGTGTGGGTATCGGGGTGGAAACTGGGTGCCCTGAGCTAGGTGTGAACCAGGCTTTCTCCCTGGGTAGTAGCGAGAGACTTCCTTCCACACGCACGCAAGGTGCTCGTCGAATTGCCCCTTATGGGCAGAGGAATGCCATCTTTGGCGGATCGATCGCGACGGCGGGTCAAGACCAGCCAGCGAATGCTTGGCGAAGGCCGGAACATGTTCGGATTACGGAGGAGGTTGCCCAGGGGGCCTTCTCCAAGGATGGTGTTTCGGTCAATCTGCACATGGATCTTGTGGAAAAGAGCATCCATGCTCTTGACAATGCCGTAGTGGGAAAAATCCTAGGCAAGCGGCTTCCTAATTTTGTACTTAGTGCGGAGATCAAATGGCAATGGGGAAAATTTGGTGATTTCCATCTATCTACAATCGGGACGGATTGTTTTGTTTGTTGCTTCAGGTCGGCAGAGGCAAGAGACGCTGTTCTCTGTGGAGGGCCATGGTTCTTCAATGGGAACATTGTCGGTTTGGATCGGTGGACTCCTTCCTTCTCACCAAACTCCATGGCGGGTCTCTCTTTACCGATTTGGATCCGGCTTCCCCAACTCCCACTTCAATATTGGGACCTCCATAATCTTATGAGAATTGCTTCTCAATTTGTAACTCCACTGTGGATTGACGCCCAAACGGCGGGGGACGAGCGACGGGAGTATGCATGGGTGTGCGTCCGTCTCAATTTAGCCAAGCAATTGCAATCGGGAACTGGGTGAATGGATGACATGGGCGGTTCTACCAGTGAGTGGAATATGAGGGCCTTAGTATGTCTTGCTTTGGCTGCGACAGAATTGGCCATCGGCAAGAGCATTGTCCTGGCAGGAAGGATACACGGATTGCAGAACCATTGGGGAACCATGTGGCATGTGCATGGAAAAGGCTACCACGGATGGTGGCTGTTCTAGTGTGGCTTCCACTAGTAAGCCGTGGGACAGCCCGCTGGTGGAACGCACTAAGGTGTTGTCGCCTTCGGGTGGGGAAGGCACGAGCAGTCGTAGCAACAACGAAGGGGCGCGGGTTGATCCCAAGGAGGGCGATTTTGTTACTCCTGCCCCATGCAAGATGGTCTAGATGAATGCAAAGGGTAAGCTCCCGGAGCGGGAGTTTACCGAGGATGAAAAGCAATTTGGTGAGTGGAACATTATTCCCCCAAGAAAAAAGAAGCCAGCCCAACAGAAGAAAGGCCAAGGTATGACGGAAAGTGGGCCTCTTCATGAAAATGGTCCGCGTCAGGTGGACCTTAAGGAGGTCGGAGAGCCGTCGAGGAGCCGCATTAAGGAGAACCTGCGTCCTAGTTGACGCAAGCTTAGTGTCAAGGAACCAACCTTGTTTTCTGCTGGGGTGGTTCGGGACAGACCGAAACTTGGGGCGTCTAAGGCCCATTTCGACAAGGAATTACAATCTCTTGGGCCTATCAAGGTTGGACCCTGAAAACGGCAAAAGGAGGGAGATGTTGGATCGTGCGGCGGGGACGCTTCCCCTATGGGTACCCAATGACGCACATCCTTATGTGGAATTGTAGGGGTGCCCGGAAGAAAAATACGGGCAACTTCCTACGTGAATCTGGTGAACACGGGACTTGAGTGCCTTGAAGAGTCGTTTGGAGGGCCGTATTGCTGAACTGCAGAACATTGATTGTTCGGTGGAGGGCCTTTGCAATGTACAAGAGGAGGATCTTCGGCACACTATTGCTGAATTCAATACTACGTTCGCTCGGATGGCCACGTGGTGGAGTCAACGGGCGAAAGTTCGTTGGATTGAGGAGGGGGACGCGAACTCTCATTTTTTCCATGCCATGGCCTCGTCTCGGAACAGTTCAAACCGGGTGGAGGAGCTGAAGCTGCGTAGTGGCGACACTACCCGTGACCAACTTCGGATCCATGATGAATTCTGGAGATTCTTTGCGGATAAATGGAGACCCTGGGAGACTAGCGATGTGGATTGGCCGGATTTCCTTGCTGGGGATGCTCTCGGCCCAGGCTTGTGAAACATTAGATGTGGAGGTGACGGACGATGAGATTGCCAAAGCGGTGTTTAGCCTGGGCAACAACCGCGCTCCTGATTTGGATGGTATCACCTCTTCCTTCTTGAAGTTTTATTGGAATATCATTAAAAATGATGTGTGTGCTGCCGTTAAGGCGTTTTTTGTTACTAATCAAATGTGCGAGTCTTGGAAGGATACTCTGCTAATGATCCGGCTCATTTCCTCCCCATCAGTCTTTGTCAATCCTTCTATAAGATCGTCGCCAAGATTCTTGTCAACCGGTTAAATCCTTTACTCTTCAATCTTATTGGTGAAGAACAAGGCGCCTTCGTTCCTGGCCGTTCTATTTCTAGCCACGGGCTGATTGCCCAGGAAGTCATGTGCAAATTTCAGCATTCTACTATGAAGGATGGGTTGATGGCGGTTAAAGTTGACATGGAACAGGCATATGATTGCATGTCGTGGCGCACCTTGCTGTGGGTTATGGAGGCCATAGGTTCTCTTGGAAATTTATTAATTAGTTTCTCCAATGCACTACTCACCCGATATTCTCTTTCTTGCTCAATGGGGTTCGGTCTAAGTGGATCTCGGCTTATAGTGGCTTCCGCCAGGGATGCCCGCTCTCCCCCCTACTTATTTATCCTTTTCTCCTAGCTACTCACCAAGGCTTTCAAGCGGGACGGTGCGTCGCTTGGGGTTCGAATTGTGTTGAATGGTGAGCGGGTGTCTCACCTCCTTTAAGCGGACGATATTCTCATCTTTGCGGAGGCCAACCGGGGTAATGCGTTGATGATATTGAACATCCTGGCTAAATATTTCCAATGGACTAGACAAAGAGTCCACAACTCCAAATCGGCAATCCTTTTCAACAAAAAATGTCCACGGTGGAAGTGCCGCAGATTGGCAAAGATGATGAGTTTACGCTTGGTTGACTCCCTGGAGTATCTTGGATTGCTCTTGGTCTTGCGCAATCCGATTGCCTCTGATTTCTCAAAAATTTTGAAGAATGCCTGATTTCAACTACTGCCTGTCTCAAGATGAGAAGAAGGGGCAAAAATGCTTCAGATTCTCGGCCGGGGCTCAGGAAATGATGGAGTTCATGGCCAATGCGGACCTCCATGACCTGGGTTTTTTGGGGATGAAATACACTTGGTCTAACAATAAAGAGGGGAATAGCCATATCTGGGTGCGCTTGGATCGGATTCTTATGGATACGGAGGGGCTGCGGGTGGCGCCATTTGCGACGGTCAAGCACTTGAACCATTTGGCGTCGGATCACTGCCCACTACTTCTTAACCTGGGAGGCGGGAACTCTCATTCAAACTTCAAGTGGGTCCGATTTGAAGATATGTGGATGACCTACCTGGCCTCGTGGAGGATTGTGGCGGACAACTGGCGGAAGGCTGATTTTGGTAATCCAGCGGCGGTGGTCAATAGAAAGTGCAAATGAACCCTGCGTGCCTTGCTGTTTTGGAGCCGCAACCGTATCTATGATATGGGGACACGAAAGAAGGACCTTGAGCAGCAGATTACGGAGCTACAGAGGGAAGATTGCTCGGATGCTGGTCTCATTCCCGAGCGTGAAGCAGAGCTGCGGCGCCTGATTAGTGAATTCAATACCGTCCTAAGCCGGATGGCTACCTGGTGGGGGCAGCGGGCTAAGGTCTTGTGGATTGAGGAGGGGGACGCGAACTCGCACTTATTCCATGCTATGGCTACGACCAGACGCCGCTCTAACTGTATTGAGGAGTTGCGATTACCGAATGGAGAGGTGCTCTCGGATGCTAATCAAATTCAGAGTGTGTTCTGGCAGTTCTTTGCTGACAAATGGAGAGCCCGGACCACGCATTCTGATCGCTGGCCGTGCTTTGATGTGCCAGACTGCCTCTCGGCGGACAGTCGGTTGCATCTGGAGGCGGAGGTTTTGGAGGAGGAGATCCAACGTGCGGTTTTCAGCATGGGCAATAACCGTGCTCCCGGGATGGACAGTATCACCTCCTCTTTCCTTAAGTTTTATTGGCTAATCATCAAGAATGACATTTGTAGTGCCGTCAAAGACTTTTTTGCGGCTAGAGCTATGTGTCCCAACTGGAAGGACACTATGGTTATCCTCATCCCCAAAGTGGAAAGTGCTAGTTCTCCGTCTCAATTTCGGCCAATAAGCTTGTGCCAATCCCTCTATAAGGTGGTGGCAAAAATCCTGGTTAATCGGCTAAAATCGGTTCTTTGGAGCCTTGTCGGTGAGGAGCAGGGAGCGTTCATGCCGGGGAGGTCCATTGCGAATCACAGCCTCCTCGCCTAGGAGGTGCTGTGCAAGTTCCAACAGTCAACTATTAAGATGGGCCTCATGGCCCTCAAAGTCGATATGGAGCAGGCTTACGACTGCATGGCATGGGATACACTATCGAGAGTTATGGAAGCTATGGGCTTTTCTAGCCATTTTATACATTGGGTGACGGAATGCATTACCCTCCCTTGGTTAGCTTTCCTTCTTAACGGAAATCGATCCCAGTGGATCAATGCCCGGAGTGGGCTACGCCAGGGCTGTCCCCTTTCGCCCTACTTGTTTATCCTGTGCTCCGAACTCTTGATAAAAGCCTTATGGCAGCATGGGGAAAGGCTTGGCGTTCAGATTGTTGCTAACGGCAAGAGGGTGTCCCATCTACTCTACAACGATGATATCCTTATCTTTGCAGAAGCCAAGCCGGATAATGCTAGGCGCATTCAGCACATTCTCACGGACTACTGCGGCTGGACTGGCCAGAAAGTCAATCACAACAATTTGGCTATCATGTTTAGTAAAAGGTTCCCCCATTGGAAAGGTAGGCAAATTGCAAGACAAATTGGTTTCAATGCTGTGAGCTCGATAGAATACCTTGGTATCCCCTTGGTAATGAGAAAGCTGATCAAGGCTGATTTTTCCAATTTGGTGGCTAAGGCCTCGACGAAGGTCAATCTGTGGGGTCTCCGACATTTGTCGTTGGTTGGAAGGGCCACCTTGATTCATACCTCTCTACTGTCGATCCCCATGTACTGTATGACCTTGACGGGGTCCCTAAGGGTACGCTTGCTCTGATTGAAAAGCTGGGCAAACAATTTCTCTAGAGGAAGACTGAGACTGGGGGCGGGCTCCACTATGTGCCGTGGAGTGAGCTATGCAAACCTGCGGACCAAGGTGGACTGGGATTTCATGCCTCTAGTGTGTGGCAAGGGCCTTTGAGAGATCGGCTGGCTCTCAACTTTATTCGACAACCTAATATTTTAATGCACCGTATCCTCATTGGCAAATATGGCACGAACCCGTGGAAGGTGTGGCCAGGACACAACATCTCGGTATCCTGGAGGGTGATTAATGATGGGGTGATGGCTCTTCAGCCTATTGTTCGTTGGTCGATTGGTGATGGCTCGGGGATCGATGTCCTTGGTGATATTTGGATTATGGATAGACGGCTTGATCAATGGCCGACATTTGAGGACCTCGCACATCTTGAGAATAATAAAGTTAGCTTCCTGCTAAATGATAGCAGGGAATGGAATGAAGATCTTGTCCTGCGTCATTTTGGGGATCCTATGACAGCTCAAATCCTGGCCATCCCGTGCGGTCAGACGGGCACGAAGGACAGCCCGGAACTCATCTGAGCTTTTTCTGGCAAGACTGTGACTGCGATGGCCTATGCCGCTTGCCTTGATAGCTCTACTTACCATTTTTGCTGGATGAAGAAGTTCAAACTCCACCCCAGGGAGAAATTCTATTGGTGGCGGCTCCTCCGCGATGCTATCCCCACCAATGCCTGGCTCAGACGACGTAATCTTACGGAGGACCCCTTTTGCCCGTGGGGATGTAATGAGGTTGAGGATACGGTGCATTGCACCATTTTTTGTGCCCAACTCAACCGAGTGCTGGAATGCCTGGGACGGTGGGGCATCTCTTTCCGGATCCCTCACTTGTTTGGCGACCTTATGGGACATCTAAAGATCATGGCGAG